CAATTTTATCCTTTTTTTAAAACTCTTTACCATTTAGAAATTTACCCCCTTTCCTATATTTGAACATCTGCCACATTGCTCCCCTTACTTTATCAATGCCTTTCTAAACCCATAAATGCAAAAAAAAATTTCCCTCCCTTTTTTAAAAATTTTTTTACATACAGCTTCAATGTAAACACTTGATAAAAAGTTAAGACACTTGTGCAACATTGGTTATTTTATTGTAGATTTTTCCCCACCCATGGCTTTATCAATACAGATTCTTGGACATAATAAGAAATCAAAGAACTATATACAAAAGATAGGAAATCAGCCCCTCACCTTGGGGTGATTTTTAGGCACGTGGGTAAAATTCTAACCAGGAAGGAGACTGGGCTTATATAGGCGTCAGGAAAGGGAGTTAGCAGACAGGGCAAGTCACGGGTAGGGGGGTTTCCCAGGGAAGTAGGTTCTACCAAATTGATGGGTTAGTTGCAGTACCCGTGAAAAAGGGTAAGGGTTAAACACTTGTATACACACCCCCTACCACTCAAAAAACCTCCTTGCTATCCGAAATCCTCATTCGTCTTACCCCTAATTTTTCAGTTAAACCCCCCATCATTTTTCCTGGTATATCAGTAAATTATTCTCTAAAATTTTTTTCAATCTCTGCCCCCTTCCCCTTTTAATTTAAAAGGGACTTCATGCTCCCCGCCAGTCTCTAGGTCCCTTCCCCTCTTTCAACTTTATTAAAAAAAACCAACACTCCAACACTATATCCCCCCCTGCTTTTAAATTTCTGTCATGAACCCGTCGGTTCCAGCGCTTTACCCCCTTTCATTCTACGTAAGCCCACACACCTCCCCCCACTCACATCCTGTTCTTCTTCCTCCTAAAAGATGGGTTTCCCCCCCTGTCCATGCAAAATTACTGCCTCCCTTTCTTCGCACATTTAAAGTCCCCAAAAAATTCTCGCCCCCTACCCAAAAATTCCCTCTCCCATCTCTAACTCCCCCACTCTGTTTTTTTAATGACAAATCCATTTGTTCCCCAGGCTTTTTTTAATTGTTTAGCTCACTCCAAAAATTTTTTTTTTTTTCATTAAAAATTTTTTGACGTGCCTCTCCCCCTCATCATCTGCTCTCCTTTTGCACTCTTCACCACTCTCTTCACCTTTTTTTACTCTCCCCATAATCTCACCCTTTTTATAACACTTCTGCTTTGTAAAAAAACCCCTCTAAGCAACTTTTTTCTTTTATCACAACCTTTACTTCACATTCACCAAACCCTCTTTCCTCCTGCACCCCCTCCTATAACACAAACTTCTGCCCCACATTCTAATACTGCATTTTTTAAACTATTCCAACCCTCTTAAAACCCCCCCCCCCCCATTTGCTCCTACTTGCACCAGTCCACCTTTCTGCCAATAGTTGCTTATATCTCACCCAAACTTCCTCCTCCCTTAGTTTATACACTTTCACCTCCCTCTTACTTGTTGTTGCCATTTTCCTCTTTTCCCATCTACCTCTTACTCTAACTGTAGCTACAACTAAATAATGATCCGATATGTCAGTTGCCCCTCTATAAACGTGCACATCCTGGAGCCTACCCATCAACCTTTTATCCACCAATACATAATCTACCTGTATTTTTTTGTACCTCTGTATGTATGTTCAAATTATTAAGTAAATAAATAAATAATTAAAACTACTTTCATTACATGCTATATCATACCTTGTATATTTATTTATCCTCTTCTTATAAAATATGTATTACTTATTACTAAACCTCTTTCTACACATAGCTCAATTAAAGGCTCCCCATTTTCATTTACCCCTGGCACCCCAAATTTACCTACTACTCCCTCCACAACATTTTTGCCCACTTTAGCATTGAAATCCCCAACCACCATTACTCTCACACTTGGTTCAAAAAAACCCACGCATTGAGAGCCTTCAAAACTAGAGATGCCAAGCCCATGATGATTCTCTTCAAATCACTTGTTCTCTCTAGGCTGGAATGAAGGTGATGGAACATCTGGTAAATAGACGTTTGTTGTGGTATTTAGAGACACACAACAGTCTCTCCACTAGTCAATATGGCTTTCGTAAAGGCCGTTCTACCATTGACCCCAATAACTATTCAGTTATGATGCCATATTTTTTGACCCTGAGAAAGCATATGACACAACTTGGAGGTAAAATATCTTGGCCCAGGCCCACTCCTTAGGCCTCCTAGGCAGTCTACCATCTTTCCTTAAGAACTTCTTAACTGAAAGACATTTCCATGTTCAGGTTAATAATATGCTTTCCCTGGACTTTGTCCAAGCTGAAGGTGTCCCCCAGGGGTGTGTTCTGCCCTCTGCTCTTCCATCCAATATTTCGTCATCGCTCTATGTTGATGACTTCGCTATAGCTTGTGCACGTGCTTACTGTCACCTCATTGCAGTTTCTCTCCAGCATGCGGTCAACTGTGTTTCCAATTGGGCAACCTCTCGTGGGTTTAAATTTTCCAGTATTAAAACTCGCCAAATTACTTTCACTAGACATTCTGTCGTCTCTGATCATCCATTGTACCTACATGGCCTCCCAGTTTCATATGGAGGTGTTCCATTCACAGACTATTTTGCTGTAATTGCCACCCACCTTTGCACTCGTTGGCAACAACATTGGTCTGCTCTGCTCCATAATAAACTACATTCTATTAAACCAAGTATTGGTTTCTGGCTGTCTCCTTATCATCAGTGTTGAGGTTAGGAGACTACTCTCTCCTGTCTTTGCATTGGCCACACTCGTGTTAGTCATGGGGTATCTCATGGAGAGGTGCCCTGTTCCACTCTGAGAATTGTCAGGTTCTAGTTTCTGTTAGTCACATTCTGTTGGACTGCCCACTCTATCAACGAGCACACAGAATTTACCTCCAATGTCGTCACCACTGTGCTGCCCTTACTTTACCTTCCCTTTGTGCTGATGGACCCTCCTTTAACCCAGACTCTCTCATTGACTGTTTGACAGCATCTGATATACTCTGATGATGATGCCTCTAGTACTCCTCACAGCCCTTTCTACCTCAGTCTCTTTGCTACCCTCTGCCCCTGCACTATCCACTGCCCTGCTGCACTCCATGACCTAATAATAATCCCTCTCCCTCTTGCTACCCAATACCCTTGCATCCTTCCCTGCCTGGTGGCACTGTATGACCCTTGTAGGTTTAGCGCTTCTTTTTTGGTTATAATAATAATAATAATAATAGGCTGGAATATTGCTGTTCACTAATGGCCCCTTTCAAGGCAGGCAAAATTGCAGACTTAGAATAGTATACAGAGAACTTTCACGGCCTGTATAAGTATGATAAAGCACCTAATACATGAGATAGTTGAAGTCTCTTGATTTGTGATCCCAGGAATGCAGGTGAAAAAGATACATGATAATATACACTTGGAAATCCTAAATCTGCACACAAAAATCACTCCCTACGAAAGCAAAGACTGAGCAGGAAATGCAACAGCCTCCCAATGAAAAGCAGGGGCATCGTGAGTACACTAAGAGACAACACAATAAGTATCAGGGGCCCAAGAAAGTAACATTTAAGGAAGTCAGGGAAATTAGTTAGCCAGACTTTAGTTTTGGAGGTAGGAAGTACACTGACTGCATTCTAAAGGAGTGAGGATGTTGCAGTTTTGAGGTTCATCTGAACTATGATGTCAGCACACTTCCAACAAAACAGTGATTGAGTGATTGGTGGGAAATACATTTCTGCTTTTTTTATTTTTATTTTTTTTTAACACCTGCCATCTCCAACAGGGTGACATGACAAAGAAAACTTTCACTGTCACTCTTTCAACCACTGTCTTACCAGAAGGACACCAACATTACATGACTCTCCTAACTGTAATATTCCCATCCCTATAAGTAGAGCTGTTGTTCCCTGAAAGCCATCTCAAACATTATTTGGTTTACACCACCAGGACTGCACCTCCAGAACTGAATGAGCAAGGCATAGCAAAACTGCCTGTAAACAAAAGCATTTATTGTGTAATTGTCTTTCAGCTAAAAATGGCAGTAGGCAAACTGAAAGAACACCAGGAATTGTATGGTTTGTTACCACTCTTGGTTCTACAGATAACCTCCAGCAAAGCTTCTGCCATCAGAGGCCCTGCCAGATGGCCACCCATGCTCAAAAAGGAAGTAATGGTTGGAGGGTATTTACTTTAGATTCGAGGATGGGGGAGAAAGAGGTTAAATACCTCAAATCAAGAGCCCCTTCACTGCAGCAAGGGACCATCCTTGAAGGAGTATGAAATCTTGAATATTTTATTATACCGAGATTGTACTGTGTACTTAATCCGTTACGCTCCTTGATCTTTTCATTATTACAATATTATCATGTAACTTTATTATTTTTATGCTTAGTTGTATTTTACCTGTTGAGTTTTGCCAACTTACTTCTAACTCAAGATCATCATCAGTTCATGCAAAGAATCAAGAGCAGCACTATGAATTAAAAGTTGAACTGTGCACAGGTTTTTGGAAATGGGCAACAATGTTGCAGGTGTTATATATACTTTTTACTTCTTTTCATTAACTAATGCAAGTCATGTTTAATTTTCCTTTCTTGCTATACAGGATAAACAGTTTGGGAAGATCCAGCTGTTCTTTCCTCATGATAATCCAACAGCCAGTGTGGAAACACAAATAAAGCCCTACAAAGCATTTACACTGCAGCGAGCTTACAGAGGAGAGTCTTACTTCTGGGGTCTACTTCCTCAACAAGGAGACAAGCTTCAGTTTAAATTTGAACCTCCTGTTGTACTAAAAGGGTGAGTTTTGTTTTTCTCAGTATAGATGGTTAACAATAATATTAAAGAATTTTAATGTATTTGAAACATTTTTGGTCCTGGTATGGTTCTGAAATAAGAAATGTTTTTATAGGAAGTTTTCAACATATTACAGTAAAATTGTATAACTGTGTATATTAGGATCAAGACCCTAGTAGATATGGGTATTACAATTTTATTCCTATATTCTTTAACCCTTTCACTGTCCAGACCCCTGATCTGAAACTTGTCCACAGTGTCAAAAAAAAAAAAATGAAATGGTAGAGAATCTTTTTCTGAAGGTAACAAAACAAAAAGTACAAAATTTGATGGAAATTATTATAATAAAAAAGAAGCATTAAACCTACAAGGGTCAGTTCGATGGAAAATTTACAAAATTATGCTTTTGCGAATTTTGCTGTGTCAGTTATATTTATGCGTCAGCGATTTTTGCCCACGTTGAGTCCTATTTTAGGCCAATCACATTCTTCCAGTCACCCAAATTCTTAGCTATTTCACTAGTATGTCTTCCATTTTATTGACTGAACACAAGACATCGCCCAGTCAGTCATCTATTTCAGCTAAAATAAAGTGATGAGAAAATGATAATACAGTGGACCCCCGGTTAACGATATTTTTTCATTCCAGAAGTATGTTCAGGTGCCAGTACTGACCGAATTTTTTCCCATAAGGAATATTGTGAAGTACGTTAGTCCATTTCAGACCCCCAAACATACACGTACAAACGCACTTACATAAATACACTTACATAATTGGTCGCATTTGGAGGTGATCGTTAAGCGGGGGTCCACTGTATAGCTAATTTCACACAAATTTCAAAATATTTCAGTTTTAAAATAGGGTCCAGAATAAACAATGCAGGCATTCCTGGCACTAAAATAATATTTCCTCTGTTCATTAGTTCCTCTTCAAGGGGGGCTCCTTGGCGTGGTGAAGAGGCTCTTGGTCTGAGGAATTAGCCCTGTCGGTCTTCTTCCTCAGACCGAACCTAATTACTCCCCATTCTCCCCTCCCCTATCCCATCCTCCCCTTTTTCCATTCCTCCTCCTCACCCCTCCCTTTTGCCCTTCCTCTTTTTGGCCTTTGAGATTTTCTCCCACAGGCACGCTAGTTCCTAGGTAGGGGAAAGGACACCGGGTCCATCCCATTCCATTGAGGTTCTTGGCGGTGGCGTAGTTTGCCGTGGAATCTGGATTGCCTGGGGATGTCCCAATCCCTCTCCGGTATCCCGGAGTAGTTTTTGGGTGTCTTTCGGGCGACGGGTGTATCTATGGAACCCCACCTTTCTGGATTCCGGGAGTGGTGGCCGAAGGAGGTATGCTTTGTGGCGGATATCCGGCGCCCTCTCTTTTGTCCACCGGGGTAGCTCGGCAGATGTGAGGTTGCTATCCCGGATTGCGGGGTTTACTGGCATGAAGGGTAGGGTATGGCACGGGTTCCATGCTGCATCTGCGCTACTAGCGGTGTGTAGGTCCTCTGGCGCGGAGGGAGATTTCCGGCCCTTTCATTCCTCCGGGGAAACTATTTCTCCCGTCCCCTTTTTTTCTTTTTTTTTTTTTTTATTTTCTTTTCTTCTTTCTTTTTTTCTTAAAAACAAAAGCAAAGGAGTAACCTAACCATGGCAGCCCTAGTCCATGAACCCACTACCCCCGGGCCCCTTCTTGATACCGCACCCCATTCTGACCCTGCCTTGTGTTTAGACCACTCTTGGGACACTCTGATGCCCCTGTACCTCTTGCTGGTGCTGTTTCCTCACCCGCTTCAGATACCGGGGCTTCGACTGACTCTTTCGATTTGTCTGAACTCCGCTCTCCTTTGACTATGCTTCCGGCTTCTCCCTCTAGGTACGGCAATTTTTGAATCGCCCGCCCATTTCACGCCGGACCAACTCCGGTCCTACTCCTAAACGCCAATGTCAATCTCCTGATGATGCTCCTTCGTTACCTTCCATTCTACTCGGAAAAGACCGACACGTCAAGCACTCCCTCTCCACGCTCATTTTTCGGACCACACAATGACTAAATTCTTTACTTTAAGACCGACTTCTTCTTCTGCCTACCTTTCTGACCATAGTATTGGCAAAGCGCTCCTGCGTCATGTTGGTAGAGACATTTCATTTCATGCTCTCAAGAGTGGTATGCGCATCGTCACTGTCCAGAATGCTACCCAAGCTCATGATCTTTCTCTCCTTTCGAATACCCGATACTATTTCCTATCACTATTGAAAAAAAATCTTTCTCTCAATTCTTGTAGTGGTACTGCCCATTCTGCCCCATACCATAGTCCAACAAAATTTTTCCAGTCATGTGGCAATGACATTTTGAACAGCTGGAACTCCAGGATCTCCCAATCCCTCAAAGTAACACTTAAGTCCTTCCTGCCCGGGGCGGAGACTTTACCCTTGCAATGTGGCTCTTTTTGCTTTGACAGCCGAGAACTCCCGTCCTCGGGTATATGTGTGGGACATCGGTTACAAGTTCGAAAGGTGATCCCTACACCGCAACAATGTAGAAATTGCTGGCGTTTGGTCACCCAGCGAAATATTGCAGATCTATGGCCGAATGCCCAGTCTGTGGTGCCGACGACCATTCTAATACATCTTGCAGTCAACCTCCATCTTGCCTTAATTGTAATGAAGCTCACCCTTCGTACTCCCGCCGTTGCCAGGTCTACTTAAATGAACGTGAAATCCGTTGCCTCAAAGAGGCAGAAGGTCTCCCTTATGCTATGGCAGTTACTCATCTCCGCCTCCAAGGGAGACTACCCGGTGTTTCTTATTCTCGTGTTTCCAAACATCCCCCCACTTCTGGGGTCCCATCTTCTGCAGCCCTCCCATAGCCACTACGGCATCTAATCCTTTTGCTGTCCTTGGCTCTGACGTCCCGACTACAACTCGGTCTGTTCTCACATCTTCGCGCCCTTCCTCACAAGCCCCAGTATCGACAAGACCTCGTACGACACCTAATACCAATCGCCCTTCTACTCAGAAGTCCAAAAAATCCACATTGCTCAAATCTTCTTTGCCCCTTCCTTCCCTTCTTCCACCTCCACACTTTACCTTTCCAGTCTCTGTACCTGTTCTTCCCCTCTCTTAGCTCTATTACAAGTGTGGGATTCACCCTCCTCCCGTACTATCCCTTTCCACCCCCACCCTCCAAGTTTCTCCCTCTTCTGCCACTCCCAGGTTTCTGCCTCTTCTGTCCCCCCCACACTTCATCCCAGTCCCTTACACTCTTTCCCTCCCCTCTGCTTTGGTACAGTCCAATACTGTCCCAATCTTTACTCACCCTCCTCCTTCTTCTCCAATATGGTCTCCCATACATTTTTAAATTCAGAAACACTTGAAGCCATTTCAGAATATATTGCAGAGACAAAAACCTTCAATGGACACTGATTAAACTTCCTGTTCCTTCTCTTCCCCTCTCCCCATCTTCACAACCCCATTCTTCTCAAACGGTCCGTTCCTTCGCTATTTGGGAACGTCTTCCAATCCACCACATGTTGACTTTTCTAACCCTCTAGTCCGTAGGTGCCTTTACCTACAGATTCCTGATATTTTCTTCATTGCCAATAAATGGCCTATTTACAGTGGAAAAATCCGGCCTTCAGGGGTAATCGGGGTGAGCTTCAGATGTTGCTTTCCAGGTTTTCCCCTGTTGGTGCTTGCTTACAAGAACCAAAATTACACTCGGCTGTTTTCCAACCTATCTCAGGCTATAATTTATTGTATTCTTCGGATCCTTTTTCAGATGGGACCTTTAAGAAAGTGCCCTTCTTCTACGCAATGATATTCCGTACTGTCAACTATTTGTCCATACCTCGCTGCAATTAAAACTGCAGCCCGTATCCACTTGAATAAGTGGTTTACAATATGTTCTTTATATCTCTCTCCTTCTCGAGCATTTTCTATCCCCGACTTTGCCTTTCTTGTTTCATCCTTCCACCACCAAATTTTGTTACTTTGGGGATTTTAATGCCCACCATTTCCTCTGGGGGGGGGTCTCATTTGACTCACGTGGCATCCAGTTGGAGGCTTTTCTCGCCTCTCACCCCTCCATGTTTTAAATACGGGTACTCCCACCCATTTTGATCCTCGTACTCATACTCTCTCTTGCATCGATCTATCAGTCTGCTCTTCCTCCACTGCACTAGACTTCACCTGGTCTGTTCCACCAGACTTACATGACAGCGATCATTTCCGATCATTCTACTTCTCCTTCCTATTCACCCCTTTCCGTAGCCCTCGCTGGCAATTTGAAACGGGCAAATTGGGATCTTTACTCGCACCTCACTGCTTTTGTTGAGGTTTCCTTCTTCATCTTCCATTGATGAGCTCCTACACATCTTCTCGACGTCAGTTTATACCGCAGCTTCTCATTTCTATACCCCCAAAACCTCAGGCAGGCATTCTCAGAAGTGCGTGCCTTGGTGGTCTCCTGCTTGTGCTCGTGCAGTACGTTTGAAACGTGCTGCAAGGGGCAGGTTACCGGTACAATAGAACCGTGAGAGACTTCTTGAATTTTAAGCAGAAGCGTGCGATCGCTCGCCATGTCATCCGTGAAGCTAAACGCACTTGTTGGCGAGACTATGTTTCCACCATCACCTCTGCTTCTTCTATGAGTGCAGTCTGGAAAAAAGTGAGGAAATTGGTGGTAAATACTCTCCTGACCCGGCTCCTGTTCTAGGGTCGCTGGTGTTGATGTAGCAAACCCTCTCGACATTGCCATTGAACTTGGCACACATCTGGTCCGTATTTCCTGAGGGCTCCATCTATGGCCCTCGTTTTTTCCGCAAAGTCTGCCCGAGAGTTAGTACCCTTGGACTTTTTTTTCTCTCAAAAGAACAGTAAAAATGTGCCTTTTTCACTTCAAGAACTGGAGGCAATGCTCTCAGCTTGCCGATCATCGGCCCGCTGGGGCCCGACGACATTCATATTTGTATGTTACAAAAATTTACATCGGGCGCCCCTTGTAGTCCTCTTACACCCTCTTCAATCTTATTTGGGCACAAGGAAATTCTTCCCACTATGGAAATCTGCCATTGTTCTCCCTTTCCGCAAACCGGGTACTACAGGAAAATGATGCCTCCCACTATCGCCCCATCGCTCTTACTAGTGCAGTTTGCAAAGTGATGGAAGTCTCGTAAATCGACTTTAATGTGGTATTTAGAGACACACACAGTCTCTCCGCTAGTCAAATGGCTTTCGTAAGGGTCGTTTCTACCATAGACCCCTTACTACGCTTGGATACGTATGTTCGTAATGCCTTTGCGAATAATCACTCGGTTTTTTGCCATATTTTTGACCTTGAGAAGGCATATGAAACAATGGAGGTATAATATTTTGGCCCAGGCCCATTCCCTTTGGCCTCCGAGGCAATCTCCCATCCTTCCTTAAGAAATTTTTAATGACAGACATTTTTCCCTGTTCGAGTCAATAAAGTTCTTTCCCTGGACTTCGTTTCCCAAACTGAAGGTGTCCCTTTAGGGATGTGTTCTAGCACAACACTTTTTCTCCTTGCTATAAATGATTTGGCCTCTGTTCTTCCACCAATATTTGGTCATCACTCTATTTGATGACTTCGCTATTGCTTGTGCAGGCGCTGACGTCATCTTATTGCAGTTTCTCTCCAGCATGCGGGCGACCGTGTTTCCACTTGGGCCACCACGCATGGGTTTAAATTTTCAAGTACCCAAAAATCACCAAATTACTTTCACTAGACGCTCTGTTATCTCCGATCATCCTTTGTATCTCTGTGGCCTCCCGTATCCCCGAACGTGATACAGTCCCGGTTTCTAGGCCTTTTCTTTGATCGTCGGTTATCCTGGAAACCTCACATAACCTCTCTGAAGGCAACTTGTCACAGCCGGCTAAACCTTCTTAAAACCCTTTTCTTTATCTTTCCTGGGGAGCTGATCGTCGAACTTGCTTCGCCTACATTCAGCCCTGTTTTATCGAAACTCGATTTGGTGACCAGATTTATTCGCGGCCTCTCCTGCTACTCTCTCTAGCCTTAACTCTATCCATCACCAAGGATTACGTTTGTGCCTTGGTGCTTTTCGCTCTTCCCCTGTTGAGAGCCTTATACAGAAGCGAATGTTCCATCCTTGTCTGATCGCCGTGATGCCCATTGCCTTCGCTACTATGTACGCTCCCCACGATCTACACAATCCTTCCATTTATAGAATGGTCACCGATAATAGTAGACATTCTTTATTCGTTCCGCCGCCCCTGTTTGCTCCGTCCCTTTTCTCTTTGCCTACATTCACTCTTGTCTTCCCTTCAGTTACCACCTTTATAAAGTTCATGTAGCATCTCACTTTTCCCTACCCCCCTGGGAAGTTCCAGCTGTTCGGGTCTGTTCTTTCTCACTCCCTTGCTCGAAAGCTCAACTGCCTACGGTGGCTTCCCCCTCTCTTTTTCTTGATCACTTCCACTCCCATTCTCATGCCACCGCTTGGGACACAGAGGCTCTAAGTCTTCAGACGGCGTCGGATTCGCAGTAGTTTTTTCCGGGCAGTGTCGTGCGGGGACATTTACTTTTCTTCAGCTTAGCATTTTTACTGCTGAACTGTATGCCATTCTTGCAGCACTTATTCGTATCGCATCTATGCCCGTGTCATCATTTTTTAGTAGTCTCAGACTCCCTTAGTGCTCTACAGGCTATACGAAAATTTGATACATCTCTCCCCTAGTTCTCCGTATCCAACTTTGGCTACGCCGTATCTTCTACCCAAAAATAAAGATATTGTTTTTGTTGGGTCCCTGGTCCCTGTCGACGTACAGGGCAATGAACAGGGAGACACAGCTGCGCGGTCAGCAGTACATGACCTACCCAAATTTCCTATCTAGGTGTTCCATTTCTGGACTATTTTGCTGCAATAGCTACCCACCTTCGCACCCGTTGGCAACAACGTTGGTCAATCTGCTCCCGGGAACAAACTTCATTCTAAATTTAAAACCCAGCATAGGTTACTGGCTTTTCTTCTTGTCATCAGTGCCGAGGTTGGGGGACCACTCTCTCCCGCCTTCGCATGGTCACACTCTTACTCATGGGTATCTCATGGAGAGGCACCCTGTTCCTCTCTGTGAGCAGTGTCAATTCCAGTATCGATTAGCCACATTCTGTTAGACTGCCCTCTCTATCAACGAGCACGCAGAATTTACCTCCAACGTCGTCTTCGTTTACTACTCTCTCTTTACCTTCCCTTCTTGCTGATGGACCCTCCTTTAATCCTGACTCTCTCATTAACTTCTTGACAACGACTGATTTACTCCACAAACTCTGATGATACTTTTCGCACTCCCCTCGGCCCTTTCTAGTTCAGTCTCTTGCTGCCCTTTACCCTTTCACCATCCACTGCCCCGCTGTTATCCGTAACCTATTACTCATCCATCTCCCTTTTGCCACCTGATGCCCTCGCTTCCTTCCTGCCCTGCAGCGCTGTATAGCCCTTGTGGCTTAGCGCTTCTTATTGATTATAATAATAATGTTCATTAGTTACATTGCCAGGCTTTACAATGAATTCCATTTTGATTTTTTATTCACACAAAAAAATAGAAAATTTACAGTTATCCAATATTGTAATAAATGTATAAATAATACCAGCACATTCATGAACATATTAGACTGACCAGTTGGACGTGTATTGGACAAGTGATGTGATTTGTTTACTCTTGAATATCAGCGAAAATCAAACATTTCTGCTACTTTGAGTTTACTTTTATTTTCAGTCCTGAAATCAATCAAAATCATCACAATTTCTGTAATATATCTTCATTGATATATTACAGAAATTGAGAGAGTGGGTGAGATGTTATCAACAAATTTTGTTGAAAATAAGAAAAAGTTTTGGAGTGAGATTAATAAGTTGAAGAAGACTAGGGAACAAATGGATTTGACGGTTAAAAATAGGAGAGGAGAGTTATTAAATGAAGAATTAGGGGTATCGGGAAGATGGAGGGAATATTTTGAGGAATTGTTAAATGTTGATGAAGATAGGGAAGCTGTGATTTTGTGTATAGGGCAAGGAGGAATAACATCTTGTAGGAGTGAGGAAGAGCCAATTGTGAGTGTGGGGGAAGTTCGTGAGGCAGTGCGTAGAAAGAAAGGGGGTAAGGCAGCTAGGATTGATGGGATAAAGATAGAAATGTTAAAAGCAGGTGGGGATATAGTTTTGGAGTGGTTGGTGCAATTATTTAATAAATGTATGGAAGAGGGTAAGGTACCTAGGGATTGGCAGAGAGCATGCATATTTCCTTTGTATAAAGGCAAAGGGGATAAAATAGAGTGCAAAAATTATAGAGGAATAAGTCTGTTGAGTATACCTGGTAAAGTGTATGGTAGAGTTATTATTGAAAGAATTAAAAGTAAGACAGAGGGTAGGATAGCAGATGAACAAGGAGGCTTTAGGAAAGGTAGGGGGTGTGTGGACCAGGTGTTTACAGTGTAACATATAGGTGAGCAGTATTTAGATATGGGTAAAGAGATTTTAGTGGCATTTATGGATTTGGAAAAGGCATATGACAGGGTGGATAGAGGAGGAGGAGGAGTTGTATTTCTGAAAGGTAATTCTATAATGAAGATGATTGTTATATATTGACAATGATAGCCCAGTAAATTAATCTGAATACGTACTTACATTATTGAATATATTATATTCATTATATGTACACATAATTTAACCAGCCCCTTTTCCTTCCTCAGTTTTCATATTCAGTTCATCTATGTGTTGCCATAATTGAATTTTGTTGATGGAACATTCTTTAACAGGTTCCTCTTCAGGAGTGGCAATGTGGAGCACCCTTCTGATCGTCTCTACAACACAACAGTGGAAGTGCTTCCCACACAGCCACTCTCTAATTTACCTGATTATCTCAAAAGAAAATTGAAAACTACTGAAGATAGCTATATCATAGTTGGTAAGCTTGGGTATACTTGCAGATAATTTATTTACCCATTTAGTTTAGGTTGGCTATAGGTAACTATTATTTGGGCATGTGTACTGTTTTGGACAAAATTAGAGACAGGATAAAGTTTATGGAACATTTGTTAAAAATCTTTCCTCCGTAAGCCATGTGTGTCGTATGAGGCAACTAAAATGCTGGGAGCAATGGGCTAGTAACCCCCTTCTCCTGTATACTTTACTAAAAAAGAGAAGAAGAAAAACTTTAAAACTGGGATGCTTGAATGTGTATGGATGTAGGGTGCGGATGATAAGAAAGAGATGAAAAGAAGTTGGATGTCCTGGCCCTAAGTGAAACAAAGCTGAAGGGGGTGGGCAAGTTGCAGTGGGAAGAAATAAATGGAATTAAGTAAGGAGTATCTGAGAGAGTTGTAGCTAAGGAAGGGGTAGCAGTAATATTGAAGGATCAGTTATGGAAGGAGAAGAGGGAATATAAATGTATAAATTCAAGGATTATGTGGATTAAAATAAGGGTCAGATGCGAAAAGTGGGTCATAGTAAGCTTGTATGCACCTGGAGAAGAGAGGAGTGTAGAGGAGAGAGAGAGAGAGAGATTTTGGAAGATATTAAGTGAATGTATAGGAACTTTTTAACCAAGTGAGAGACTAATTGTGGTAGGGGACCTAAATGCTAAAGTAGGAGCAACATTTAGAGAGGGTGTGGTAGGGAAGTTTGGGGTGCCAGGTGTAAATGATAAAGGGAGCCCTTTGATTGAAGTTTGTATAGAAAAGGGTTTAGTTATAGGTAATACATATTTTTAAGAAAAAGAGGATAAATAATTATACAAGATATGATGTAGGGTTTAATGACAGTAGTTTGTTAGATTACGTATTGGTAGATAAAAGACTGTTGAGTAGACTTCAGGATGTACATGTTTATAGAGGGGGCCATAGATATATCAGATTACTTTTTAGTTGTAGCTACAGTGAGAGTAAAAGGTAGATGGGATACAAGGAAAATAGAAGTAGCAAGTAACAGAGGTGAAGGTTTAAGGTTTATTAACTAAAAGAGAAGGCAGTTAAGGTAAGATATAAACAACTATTGGAGGATAGATGGTGTGGTGAGAGTATAGGCAATGGGGTCGAAGATGTATGGGGTTAGTGTTCAGCAGAAGTTTGTGGTTACAGGAAAGTGGGTGCGGGAGGGAAGAAGAGCAATTGGTGGAATGATGATGTAAAGAGAGTAGTAAGGGAGAAAAAGTTAGCATATGAGAGGTTTTTACAAAGTAGAAGTGATGCAAGGAGGGAAGAGTATATGGAGAGAAAAAAAGAGGTTAAGAGAGTGGTGAAGCAATGTAAAAACAGCAAATTTTGTTGAAAATAAGAAAAAGTTTTGGTGTGAGATTAATAAGTTCAGGAAGCCTAGGGAACAAATCGATTTGACAGTTAAAAATAGGAGAGGAGAGTTATTAAATGGAGAGTTAGAGGTATTGGGAAGATGGAGGGAATATTTTGAGGAATTGTTAAATGTTGATACAGATAGGGAGGCTGTGATTTTGTGTACAGGGCAAGGAGGAATAACATCTTGTAGGAGTTCATGAGGCATTGGGTAGAATGAAAGGGAGTAAGGCAGCTGGGATTGATGGGATAAAGATAGAAATGTTAAAAGCAGGTGGGGATATAGTTTTGGAGTGGTTGGTGCTATTATTTAATAAATGTATGGAAGAGGGTAAGGTGCCTAGGGATTGGCAGAGATCATGCATAGTTCCTTTGTATAAAGGCAAAGGGGACAAAAGAGAGTGCAAAAATTATAGGGGAATAAGTCTGTTGTAAAGTGAATGGTAGAGTTATTATTGAAAGAATTAAGAGTAAGACAAGACAGAGGGTAGGATAGCAGATGAACAAGGAGGCTTTAGGAAAGGTAGGGGGTGTGTAGACCAAGTGTTCACAGTGAAACATATAGGTGAGCAGTATTTAGATAAGGGTAAAGAGGTTTTAGTGGCATTTATGGATTTGGAAAAGGCGTATGACAGGGTGGATAGGGGGGCAATGTGACAGATGTTGCAGGTGTATGGAATAGGAGGTAGGTTACTGAAAGCAGTGAAGAGTTTTTATGAGGATAGTGAGGCTCAGGTTAGAGTATGTAGGAGAGAGGGAGATTATTTCCCATTAAAAATAGGCCTTAGACAAGGATGTGTGATGTCACCATGGTTGTTCAATATATTTATAGATGGGGTGGTAAGAGAAGTGAATGCATGGGTGTTGGCAAGAAGTGTGGGGTTAAAAAATAAAGAATCTAACACAAAGTGGGAGTTGTCACAGTTGCTCTTTGCTGGTGACACTTTGCTTTTAGGAGATTTCGGAGAGAGGTTGCAGAGGTGGGTGTATGAGATTGTAGGGTAAGTAAAGAAGAAAATTAAAAGTAAATACAGTGAGGTCCCTCATTGTTCGTAATTTAATCCGTTCTGGAGGCCGTTACTATGAAACGAAATTTTACGACTAAACGAATCAATTCTCCCCATAAGAAATAAATTTAAAGTACAATTAATCTGTTCCTGACACTCCAGAAGTGATTAAAACAAAAAAATTTTTTAACATGAAATATACATGTCGTACAAAACAATACAATGGGAAATGATGATGAAACATTAACATCATAACACTTACCTTTAATTGGAGAATCTTCTTAATTGTATGGGAACTGGAGGAGGAGAGATGAGTGGATTGTTTATAGTTTGGAAGGGGAATCCCCCTTCCAATCAACACCTCATGTACCATTGCTTTTCTGGTGGTGCTCTCTCTCTGTTTCTAAATGCCACTAGGACCACCTTGAGAGTCACTGGAGCGCTGTTCTGACACAAAATAACTGTGAGAGAGCTCTGTTTCTAGGCGTCTCTTTAACACTCCCTAAAATGGCACCAAGACTTGTCACTGTAACATGTTGCCAACCTGCTTACAACAACCTGTTAGGGTGATGTTTCTCAAATAAAGCTTTCCATCTTACCCCACATAGTAAAAATCTCTTTAATTTCTGAGAAGCAAACCTTCTTCCATCTCTCTTCCTATCCTCCTCCACGTGCAGCAAGATTCTGAGCTGCGATGTGTTTGCCTCACAAATAAACAAATCATAAGAGTAATCTCCTGCTAATTGTTTCTGCATTTATACCACACCACTAATAACTTCTCACACTCTTCAGTACTGGTGATCTCATATTTTGTCCAGCAAATTACTCCCTTTGCAACAACAGCATCCTTTATTTCATTTTTCTTGCCCCTAGGAAATAAGGTTGTGTAGAGTTTCTATACATCCTGGACATACGGCACACTTGTAGCCACATTCCATATGTTTGCAGAATGATGGTTTTCTTAAATTACAGTCGTATTTCTCACCTTCTTTACCACAGGGCTGGCACTAGGAGCTTTCTTATGGAGCCATTGTAAGCATTATTTAGTACTTGCCAAGGCACTTAAATAAATGGGAATATTATGAAATAAATTTTCGGGCTGTATCAATGCGAGGGGACTTCGCTCACTGGTACACAATGCCAGACGTGGCTGCCGCCCTGGCCCACTCCGTGTGTACGGGTCCCGGGACGAACTACAGACTCCGCTGAGTAACCTATGAAAAGTGAATCCATGTTTACAATACGAAAATACCCGCAATGATTGCGAATTTTATACGATTGCCGGGAACTACGAAAGTGGGGGACAAGCTGTACGTATATAGAAAGAGTAATGTGTGAGGACAACAAAAAAAATAGGAGACGAAAGAAGAATATCAGATGGAAGGAAGAGTATGGAGGATGTGAATGTATTCAATTTTTGGGAGTGGACGTGTCACAATGGGTCTATGAAGATGAGTGACTCGTAGAATTGTGAGGGGGAAAAGGGTGAGTGTGACACTTAGGACTCTGTGAGTCACATCTCATTACTTCCCATTCCCGAAACATGTACAACCCTCATTTTTTAGGCATTTAACCTTATGAAATAATGATATGAAGATATGGAGATGTCTCCAACACGTATGATGGCCAGAAGACACTATGGTACAAAGCATCAACCTTTTTAAACGGACAGATGCCATAAAGTCTACATAACCACACATTGTTTTTAGCAGAGCATGCCGCATTAAAGACTTAAGAAGGTCTACAAGTTTTGCATTCAGGATCAATGAGAAGTCCTTTGCTATTTCCTGCATGTGATTCGCAGGAAAATATTTTAAACACTTTTTGGTAAAAAGACATTATATGACAGAAATGAATCTGAGACACAATGATAGCTTTATAAACATAAGCAAGAGGATAATTCAAATTATAAATAGATACATGTCCACATCACACTTGATACACAGAAACCAATTGGGGCGAACAAATAGAGTATTCGAATTTACAGAATATTTCGAATTTGAGAATGAAGGTGTGGTCTAGGCAGCCTACGCCCATAATCAAACATTTGACTTACGATATTTACTGCATTGTTCGATTTCACATTTTGGTGTATGAGAAGAAGTTTTCACATCATCACTTCACTTATTTTCTGATAAGTTTGCAATATACAAACCAAAAACAACAAGTGAGAAACAAAAAATATTACATGAAAATTTTATTTGGCAACATCCCTAGCACTAAGTATGGACACTAATACAAAAGACATTAGAGGAAACCCTGCAAATATCTTATAGTTTCCTACAAAAAATAAAGTTGCTAAATTTTTTTAATATGTTTGCTAAAATATACATGCCACTTTAACTCCCACACAAATCCACCAAATAATAACTTCCAATAATAAAGGCTAGAGCTTGTCATGAAATAAGTCAGTAGAATAACATAACTTCGAGATAATTCGTACACGTAAAACACCACCTGCCTCCCAGTCTCAGATGGCAAAAAAAAAATTCCAAGAAATTAGCTTTTTTAGATATCAGTGTTTTACGCTTTTGAAACTAGTGATCTAGTGCAGTTACTCGCTCTAACCAAAACTTGGCCTTCGAATAAGAGAAAACAAAGACACAGCCAATGTTATAGGAAGTAGGGGAAATGATTTTTTGCGATATTGCTGGTTGACACCCCAATTATGCCTATTTTATTAAATTCAGAGTATAAAAAAAATTCATTTATTTAACGTTCTTTTATGTAAATTTTAGATAAATTTTGTGATAGATAAATACCCTTAATTTTTGACATTAGCATTAATTAAAGATTTTCTCCTGCCCCAAGCGGGAATTTCAGTTGACGTAATCAAAATCCCCAGATGGTTTCCCTTTGGCTGCAAATCTACAAAATTACCCTGCCCACCTCATATTGCCAAAACATCAATTATTTTATAGAAAGAAAATACAAGGAAAAAACAGAAAAAATGGGAAAAAAACCTAAAAAATTTTCAGGATGGACAGTCATTTTGCCCAGACAGTTTCCATACTGAATAAATGACTGTAATTCCTTGTAGGGAATTATAGAACATTTATTCTTGACCCTTGTGTTGCCCGTGATTAAGCTATTTTTTTAAAAATTTAAACCCTTTCCATAATTTTTTTAATTTTTTTTTTGCTCCAAAAAAAAAACTACAGTTTTTTTGGGAACTTTTTTTAAATTTTAAAATTTCAGATAAAGGGATGTGGACCTGTACCAAAACTTATTATTATTATTATTTTTTTTTTTTTTCAAAAAGTGCCGTCCCACCGGGCAGGGGGACCCAAAAAAAAAAAGAAAATCCCCCAAAAAGAAAAACTTCAACATCATTCAACACTTCACCACACTCAACATTATCACGTTTTTGCAGGGGTGCCAGGATACAACAGTTTAGAAGCATATCAAAAAGATACACAACATACCCCCCCAAAACTCCCAATTTCCAAAACCCCCTCCTTTAAATGCAGCATTGTATTCCCATTTCCGGGACCAAGCCCAAACTAATGAAAAAAACCGTTCCCTGAACCCTTCACAAAATATTCCCCTGCTCACACTCCACAGATCTGGGTCCCAAGACCTTTCGTCTCCTTTCAATCCACTAAAACCTCAGAAAGCTTGCTGGAATCCAACCCCTTCGCCCAAAACCCTTTTACCCCCTCTCTCCAACCCTTTCGAGGACGACCCCTACCCCCCCTTTCCTTGCCCTATAGATTTTATGCTTTCCAGTCATTCACTTTGATCCATTCTCTCAAATGACCAAACCCCTCCAACCCCTCTTTCCCCTCTGACTAATCTTTATTAAATCCAAAACCTTTTCCTAATTTCCACACTCCGAATTTTCTCCTAATATTTACACCACACATTGCCCTAAAACAGGGCATCTCCACTGCCTCCAACCTCTCCTCGCTGCGCATTTTCCATCAGCTTCACACCCATAAAGAGTGTTGGGACTACTATACTATCAACATTTCCCTTTTTTGCCTCCTAATTTAAGTTTTTTTTACTCTACATATACCCCAAACCACCACTCGCCTTTTTTTTTTTTTTTTTTTTCCCCATCAATTTTATGATTAACCCCTCCTTCATAAATCCCTCCCCACACTCAACTCCCAAGTAAAACGAAAACATTTTACTTCTTCCATACCCTCCCCCCAATTTTATATCCAATTTTTTTTTATCTAAAAATTTGATACCCCCCCACCTTTCTCTTTTTTATTTCCTTTCAACTTTCACCTTTTCACACATTTCCAAAATCTCCATAACCTTTCAATTTTTCCCTTTGAATCTCCCATAACACAGTATCATAGCAAAAAGTAACTGTTCAAATTCCCCTTTTGAATTTTATTCCCCAAAATTTAAACCCCCCCTCCCCAAACACCCACATTTACTTCCTTTCAACCCCAAATATAAATAATTAAACAACCCTGGTGACATTTCACATCCCGTCTAAGACCTATTTTTCCGGGAAATTTTTCTCCCCCTCTTCTACACACCCTAACCTGACCTCACATCCTCATAATAACTTACCCCTATTCCATATACTTGCAATCTGCCCCCTTGCTCCCTTCCACTCTTATCATATCCTTTTCTAAATCCTAAATGCAATAAAAACTTCCCTACCTTTTTCAAAAAAGTCACATATATGCTTTTAATGTAACACATTTGATCTACACATCCCCTACCCACTCTGAAACCTCCTTGCTCATCCGCAATCCTACATTCTGTCTTACCTCTAATTCTTTCAATTATAACCCTCCCATACACTTTTCCTGGTATACTCAGTAAACTTATTCCTCTATAATTTTTACAATCTCTTTTGTCCCCTTTCCCTTTATATAAAGGGACTATACATGCTCTCCGCCAATCCCTAGGTACCTTCCCCTCTTTCATACATTTATTAAACAAAAATACCCACCACTCCAACACTATATCCCCTCCTGCTTTTAACATTTCTGTCATGATCCCATCAGTTCCAGCTGCTTTACCCCCTTTCATTCTACGTAAGCATTAAAATTGTTGGGGTCCTTCAGTATGTGAAAAAATAGTGGAGAAACAAAGTCCTGTCTTAGCAAAGAGTGGTAGGTACAATGCGTGAAAAAGATAGGCAAATGATATAACCATAGTTCAGTGTGTACTGCGATGATGTTCCCTAAAGAAAAGATGGAATAAAACAAGCGACAGTGCAAGGCAAAATCAAAACAATGGAAAAGTATTAGCTATGGAAAAATATAAAACAAATTATAGTTCATCTAACTCAAATATTGTGTACCAAAACCATACCTATTCAACATGACTAATCTTTTGTTTAATTTGTTTTAGGGGATTTTGACGATATGGGTGTGGCAGAGGGGACCATTGACGAGTCATTTGGTGAAATAAAATCGCTTCGTCTCAATGTACATGTAGAAAGTGACAATTGGGCTATATTAAGTGAGGTAAGTGCTGCAAGTTCCATATATATAACAAATATAATTGTGGAATGTTTAAACAAAAAACATAACTAATGTACCAAAGATATAAAAGTAGAAGCTAAAGTAGTTGAGCTGTTAATGCAAGAAAGTACAAACTCTTTGAATACATTATTTACTTATTTGAGCTTGCATAGGGAAAGTGCTAGCATTTGATAACCACCTCTTAACTTTAAACTGACAAACATGAGGGCAAATCTAAATATGAAACATTGATGGAGAATACCTTACATTAAAAATTATTAATATACTTAAACTTCATGTGATTCCAAAAACTGTGAAAAAATATTTAAAGTGAATGCTTTTTGTGATATTTAATTCAGTTACAGTATAAATATTAGAGGTTACAATCAAAACTAACCACTAAGCCCACAAGAGTCATACAGCACTGCAGGGCTGGATGTGCTAAAGATGAGCGAAGATCAGAGTCCAGTGAGGGTTAGGAGTATGCAAGAGGCAGAGTCAGTAAGGTTAGTGGGGAGCACTAAAGGTAAAATATAATCAAAGTTGGTGTACTACAGCTGTCACTAACAAAAAGTCAGAGGGAGTCTGTCAAAGGTGGGGCTGTTGGCAAGGCAGTCAGATAAAGTAAGTGCATTAGGGCGGTGATGATGCAGGAGATAAATTCTGCATGTTTGCTGATACACAGAACAGTCTGTTAACAGATGATGAAATGACAATGGAATTTGACAATTCTCACAGAGCGGTGCTGAGATCTTCTCCATGAGTGAGATGTGTGTGTGCCTGATATGTAGGCAGGAGAGTGTCATCTCCTAAGCATGACAGCGATGATAAGAACACCAGAAACTCAAGGTTTGACAGAACACAATTTGTTACAGATCAACTCAGACCACCATTGTTGCCAGTAGTTGCTAAGTTATCTAGAGGTTATTGCAAAATAGTCTGAGAATGGAGTACCCCATATATAAAATAAGGTCATGTACAGCTGACTGCACAGCAGAATCTGCCTGCTGATTGCCCTGAACATCCATATATCAAGGGACCCATCAGAAAATAGTGATTTTGGTTGCACAGCATTTGTAGTAAAAACAAAGTTTTGTGCGAAGAATGAAAGGATAAGAATAAAATTTTTGGATGACCTGCAAAGTACTAAAGAAGTCTGAAACTACTACGAATATTCAGGTAGGCAGGGAAACAATATAAAAGCCATGAGAATTACAGTTGTGAAAATGCTTGCCAAGTCTAATAAATGACTTCACACAACTCTGGAAAAACTGCTGCAAACCTGACACCTTCAGAGAATTTAGAGCCATTGGGGTAAACTGCAGTGGCATGAGGATGAGATTGGAAGTGGTTAAGAAAAAGGGAATGAGAAGCTACAGTAGGTAATTGAGCTTTCGTACATGTAAGTGGGGAAGTACAGACAAATCATCATAACCTCCCAAGGAGGGAAGAGAAAATTTCGATGTTGGATGGATACATAGAGTTAAATAAAGAGAAGCCAAGAGAGTGGTTATGAAGAGAAAAGGGATGTAGTAAATAGGGGTGGCAATCAAATAAAGAACTACTGTCTTTTACCATCCTGCATGTAGGATTGCGAAGGTCATGGGAGCAGACAAAATATCAAGAGACAGTGGTCATTAGTCATTATGTTTGTCATGCAAAAATGGAACGTCTGCCTTGGCATATAGGCTCTTAACCAGGAAGGAACAAAAAGCAACTAGACACAAATGCAATCCTTGACTTTGTTGAATTATTATTATTATAATCAAAAAGAAGCGCTAAGCCACAAGGGCTATACAGCGCTGCAGGGTAGGGAAGGAAGCAAGAGAATTGGATGGCAGAAGGGAGGGGGGATGATCAGCAGGTTACAGAAAACAGCGGGGCAGGGGATAGTACGGGGGTAGAAGGTAGCAAGAGATTGAAGTAGAAAGGGCTGAAGGTATCAGAATTTGTGAAGTAAGTCAGTCGTTGTCAAAAAGTCAATGAGAGAGTCCGGATGAAAGGTGGGTCCATCAGCGAGAAGGGAAGGTAAAGAGAGAGCAGCGGAGCGAAGACGTACGACAGAGGTAAATTCTGCGTGCTCGTTGATAAAGTGGGCAGTCCAACAGAATGTGGCTGACTGATAATGGAGCTTGGCAATTCTCACAGAGAGGAGCAAGACGCCTCTCCATGAGATATCCATGAGTAAGACGAGTATGGCCAATGCGAAGACGGAGAGAGTAGTCTCCCAACCTCGACATTGGTGATAAGAGACGGCCAGTGACCTATACTCGGTTTAATAGACTGAAGTTTGTTTGCCGAGCATAGTAGACCAACGTTGTTGCCAACGGGTGTGAAGGTGGGAAGATATTGCAGCAAAATAGTCCGTAAATGGAATACCTCTATAAGAAACTGGTAGGTCATGTACTGCTGACCGCGCAGCAGTGTCTGCCTGTTCATTGCCCTGTACGTCACATGACCAGGGACCCAACAAAAAACAATATCTTTATGCTTGGTAAAGATGCGGCGTAGCCAAAGTTGGATACGGAGGACTAAGGGTGAGGTGTATCAAATTTTTGTATAGCCTGTAAAGCACTAAGGAGTCTGAGACAACCACAAAAGATGACACAGGCATAGATGCAATACGGATAAGTGCTGTAAGGATGGCATATAATTTCAGCAGTAAAAATACTAGCCGAAGATAGTAAATGCCCTTGTACGACGCTCTCCGGAAACACTGCTGCGAATCCTACGCCGTCAGAAGACTTAGAGCCATCTGTGTACACAGCAATGGCATGAGAATGAGAGTGAAAGTGGTCAAGAAAAAGAGAGCGGGAAGCGACCGTAGACAGTTGGGCTTTCGAGCAAGGGAGGGAGAAAGAACAGACTCGAACAGCTGGAACTTCCCAGGGGGTAGGGAAAAGTGAGATGCTACATGTACATAGAAAGGTGGTAGTTGAAGAGAAGACGAGCGAATGAAGGCGAAGAGAGAAGGGACGGAGTAAACAGGGGCGTCGAACAAATAAAGAATGTCTACTAATATCAGTGACCATTCTATAAATGGAAGGATTGCGGAGATCATGAGAGCGTACATAGTAGCGCAGGCAAGGGGCATCACGGCGATCGTTTAAGGAGGGAACGTTCGCTTCTGCATAGAGGCTCTCAACGGGGGAAGAGCGGAAAGCACCAAGGCATAAACGTAATCCTTGGAGAAGGGGGTTAAGCTAGAGAGAGTACAGGAGATGCCGCTGAATAGTTTCTGGTCACCATAATCAATTTCGATAAAATAAGGGTGGAATGTAGGCGAAGGGGGGTTTTCGACGATCAGCTCCCCACGAAAGATGAGCAAGGGTTTTAAAAAGGGTTCAGCCGGCTGTGACAAGTTTGCCTTCAGAGAGGTAATTGAGGTTTCCAGGATAACCTACATCAAAGAGAAGGCCCAGAAACTTGACTGTATCACGTTCAGGTAACGGAGCCATAGAGGTACAAAGGATGATCGAGATGACAGAGCGTCTAGTGAAAGTGATTTGGTGGGTTTTAGTGCTGGAAAATTTAAACCCACTTGTGGGGGCCCAATTGGAAACAGGGTCCACTGCATGTTGGAGAGAAACTGTAAGGAGTGACAGTCCAGAGCCTCACGGGCAATAGCAAAGTCATCAACATAGAGTGATGACCAAATATTTGATGGAAGACTAGAGGCCAAATCTTTAATAGAAAGGGAGAAAAAATGTTGGGGCTCAAACACATCCCTGGGGGACACCTTCAGCTTGGATAAAGTCCGGGAGAGCACATTATTAACCCGAACACGGAAATGCCGTCAGTTAAAAAGTTCTTAAGGAAGGATGGTAATGCCTCAAAGGGCCTAAGGAGTGGGCTTGGCTAAAATATTATACCTCCAATTGTGTAAATATGCCTTCCTCAAGGTCAAAAAAATGGCAAATAACTGAGTGGTTATTCGCAAAGGCATTCGAACATACGTATCCAAGCGTAGTAAGGGGTCTATGGTAGAACGTCCCTTACGAAAGCCATATTGACGAGTGGAGAGACTGTTTGTGTGTCTCTAAATACCACACTAAACGTCTATTTACTGGGCGTTCCTTACTTTGGCAAACTGCACTGGTAAGAGCAATGGGACATAGTGGGAAGGTTTCATGTCCCGTAGTGCCGGGTTTTGCGGAAAGGGAGAACAATGGCGGATTTCCACGCTGCGGAAGAACTCCTTGTGACCAAATAAGATTGTAAAGGCGTAATAGGACGCAAGGGCTGACTGATGAAAATGTTGTAGCATACAATATGAATGTCGTCGGCCCAGCTGCCGATGATCGACAAGCTGAGAGTGTTGCCTCCATTCTTGAAGTGAAAAAGGCACATTATACTGTTCTTCTCTGAGAGAAGAAAAGCCCCAAGTGCTAACTCTCTGGCAGACTTTGAGGAAAGAAATAGGGGCATAGATGGAGTCCCTGAGAAATACGGACCAAATGATTGCCAATTTCATTGGCAACTCTAGTTGGTTTGCTATATCAACCCCCCGGCAACCCCGCAGAACAGGAGCCGGGTCAGGAGAATATTTACCACTCAGTTTTCGAAACTTTTTTCCAGACTGCACTAAATAGAGGAAGCAGAGGTGATGGTGGAGACATTAATCTCGCCAGCAAGTGCGTTTTAGCGTCACGGATGACACGCGAGCGATCGCACGCTTCTGTTTAAAATCAAGGAGTCGCTCTGTGGTTCTATTGTCCCGGGTACCTGCCCCATGCAGCGCGTTTCAAACGAACTGCACAAGCAGACCACCAAGGCACCTTTTCTGAGAATGCCTCCCGAAGTTTGGGGTATAAAAATGAGAAGCTGCTGTGAAAACGGGGGGACGAAAGAGGTGTAAAAGCTCATCGATGGAGACGAAGAAGGAACCTCTTAAAAAACAGTCGGGTGTGAGTAAAGGTCCAATTTGCCCGTTTAAAATTTGCCAGCGTGGGGTGCAAGAGGTGGCGAATATAAAGGGGGAAGTAAGAATGATTGGGAAATGA